TACTTATTTCTCTAATCATTTGGAAAGGGAGGTAAGTGTCTTCAAGGCTGCCACCAAAGTTTTAACCAAGGCCATTTGTCTCATTAGATACTAATATTCCACATAAATTTTTTTGAAGAAAGAGTTCTAAACTTAAAGAAAAATGGCTTGAAATCCATGGGGCTATATTAGGAGTTATGCAAAGATAGTTTGTGCTGCCACCTCTCTTTGCAATTAAAGTTGTATTGACAAAGAGCCATACCATTAGTTTATGCATCACCTATGGCTGCTTTTGTGACAATGGGTAAAATTGGTTAATCATAACAAGGACCTTATGTGACCCACAAGACCTAAAATATTTGTTAACTAGCTCTTGATAGAGAAAATTAGATAGATTCAGACAATATACTACAGAAATCTATATAAGCTCCCCCAATAACTTCATGTCTCAGCTCTTCAGGTTTCAGAAGTATCCTCTAATGCCACAGGCTAGACAAGATGCTCCTCTAATATGCCTCAACAGTTTGCTTACTCCTATCTTACTTCTTTACATTTTATATTATAAATGTCCATTTACGCACCCGCTTTTCACAGGCTTAAGTGCAGTGGTAATGTCAGTCTCGTGATGCATCAAATCCTCAGTACATAGCATAGTGCCTGGGACATAATAAGTGCTTAATAAATGTTTCTTGAATAAATGATGTATAATGAAGAGTCAGTGCAACAAATATTTATTAAGTACTTATTACATGCTGGACACTTTTTGAAGTCATGAGAATACAGTAGTGAACCAAACAGGCAGATAATTCTTATCATACAGTTTACAATACACTGGAGAAAGCAAACTGCAAGCAAGAAGAAGAAAGTAAAATATGTTTGAGAATGATAATTATCAGAAAGAAAACAATAATGCCAGGAAGGCACATAAAATGTTAGCTCTGGGGATAGGAGGTGTTGGATTAAAACTTTACATAAAGTGGCCAGAGAAGAACTCAAGTGAGGAGGTACCCATGGGCTAAAGACCTAAAGTTGTTAATTAATCTAACCTATAATAATTTAAGTGAGATTTGGCACTGTGTATAGAAGGGAGAAAATAATTTCAGGCAAAGAGAAGAAAATGAGAAACAGTCTCCATGTAGAAAGGATCTTAGCACATGTAGCAAATTGAAAGACACTCACAAAGCCAACAGTTATATGATTCCATATTTCTTAGAAAAAACAATAAAGAGATTGAAATGTCAGAAGTGCAAACAGTTTCAAAGAAAAAAAAAGAGATCAGAGAGTAAGTAAGTTACAGATATCACATAAAGACCTGAGTTCTAGCACTTCAAATAAGAATCAACTGGGATTCATTATGTGTTGAATCACTAACCAAAGACCATTGTCTATTATTTTCTTCTGTTGAATTTAAGATATTTATAGATTCTATAGATGTCTCAGTCCATTTATACACTGCTACAAAGACTGCCTGAGACTAGGTAATTTATTAAAAAAAAAAAAAAAAAGGTTTAACTGACTCACAGTTCATCATGGCTGTGGAGGCCTCAGGAAACTTACAATCGTGAGGCAGAGAAGGGGAAGAAAGGCACCTTCTTCACAAAGCATCAGAAAGGAAAATGAATGCAGGAGGAATTACCAAGCACTTATAAAATCATCAGATCTCCTGAAAACTCACTCATATCATGAGAGCAACATGGAGGAAACTGGCCCCATTATTTAATTACCACCACATGGTCTCTTTCTTGACACATGGCGATTATGGGGATTATGGGAATTATAATTCAAGATGAGATTTGTATGGGGACACAAAGCCTAACCATAGCAATAGAGAAAACATGCAGGAATTGGTCAGGAATTGATAAACAGCAGTTTCTACTGATAGACCATAAACACTAACTTCTTCATACTAACTCCCATAAGGCAACTCAACTGTATAGTCTGAGAACTTAGTAAAATGTTGGGGGAGTGAGAAGCTGCAGGAATTCATTATTATGTTCTTTTTTTTGTATGATTTATGTTATTATAGATATGGCTCTAGGAAGAATTCCCCCCAAGAAATTTATCTTACTAGAAAAAGGAGAAGATAAGTCTGCAGATAGAGAAAGCATATGATCTAATTAGAAGAAATGATATGAGGTATTGTGAAATGTGCAGATTCCAGAATCAGCATGAATGGGTTCAAATCTTGGATTCCGACACTTTCTAAGTGAGCCCAGTCATTTATTTATCTGATGTTTACCCAGGTTCTTTTGAAGGGGAAAAATGATAATTGCCTCATCAGGTTAGATATGGTCTTAAAAAGAGTACCTGGCATGTAATAAGCACAATGTTATTGTTTCTTCTAAAATTATCATTGATCATATTAATTTTGGAATGTTTATTAAGTACCCAAATGAATGCATAAACTAGTCAGTTTGGGTCTCAGGGAGAGATATAGGGGGAAGATAGAGTTTTGTTTGCCATAGGCACATAGATGTCATTTAAAGCAATAAAAGTACAGACGCATAAAAGAGTATGTCTAAGGACTGAACTCTGGAGCATCCTGGCAATGATAGATCTTAGAGTTAAGTCTGTGTTCAATATTTCCCAAATTGAGGTATAGATTTAATGTGCCCCCAATCAAGATCCCACGTGCATTTTTTGCAGATATTGATGAGCTTATCTTATGTAACTCATGTAAATTTAAAGGACCTAGAACAGCCAAACCAATAAAAGAAAAGAATGACTCTCCCTTTTCTATTTCAAAACTTACCACAAAGTGATAGCATTCAAGACAGCATGGTGCTTAGATACTTTTAAATGTATTAATTGATAGAATAAAATTTAGAGAACAGGAATAAACTGATAAAGCTATGGTCAATTGAACATAGGAAAGTATTGAATCATCTTTTCATCCAATGGTGCTTGGACAACTGGAAATAAATGAACATAAATGCAAGAGCATACTTGGGAATTATGGAAGTTCTATCTAAAACAGAGAAATATTGACCAATGATTGGTGAAACAAAGGAAAAGAGATTTAGCAGGGCTTCTCATGCTCCCTGATTCAGTATGAGGATCTGTGAGATTTTTCTGTAGACATCAAGGGCCATGTCCATATTATGTTAGGCTCTTTCCAAGATGGATACCTGTAGTGACAGCAGATTTTGGCAGAGAAATTGTGGATATTAGAATATGCCTAGGTCCTGAAGACAATGTTAGAAAAGACCCAGAAGAAAGATTCATTCTCCCTTCTTCTGGCTACCATCTATCTGCTCTTCAACATCCTCCTTCTACTTTAAAATAAATAAATAAATAAATAAAGATCTTGGTATTTGCCAGAACATGGATGGACCTAAAAGACATCACACTAAGTTAAATAATCCAGGTAGAAAGACAAAGATTCTATGATCTCATATGTGAACTATATAAATAAGGGGCTCCAACAGACAGAGGTAGAGAATGAAACATTGTGGATGGGAGAAGAAATGGGGAGATGTAAGTCAAAAGATACAAAATAACAGATATGTAGGATGAACAAGTATAGAGATCTAATATACAGGGGGACTAAAGCCAATGAAATTATATCATGAATTTATGTTAAATAAGATTTTAGCTGCTATTGTCATACACTTAAAAAAGTAAGAAGAGAGATATACGAATCATTTTCACATTGTAACCATACATTATATATGTATCCCATAATAACACGTGGTAAACCTCAAATATAAAAAATAAAATTTCTTTAAAATAAAAAAAAATCAATCACACTTATATATACTAAGATTGGACATGTGGAAATCAAAATTAAACACATGATACTATTTACAGTCACTCAAAAGAAAATATAATACCAAGGTGTAAACAAAATAGAGAACAGAAGGTGGGTACAAACATTAAAAATCCAAATATATTTCTAAAATTTACAAATTATAAAAATATATTTGACAAGGGAGGAACAGATTAGACATATATGTAGATGCATCTTATAAACAGGGCAGAGTGAAACATTAAATATTGACAATGGATACATAAATTGAAAACAAATGCCCACAAACAATAAAAAACATGTATTGACACTCATACAGAGGAAAGGATGCACATCAAATGCATTACAATGATTGCCAATGTAGACAAGAGAAATAAAACAGGGTCATGAAAACAAAGCCGAGTGAATGAGTAAATAAACAGGAGAGGATCTTGAGCAATTAACTCAAGGAATATAACTCAGCCTTCTACACTTGATGCCAAAACCACTTTATTGTATTCTCTCTAATAAAAACAATATTTTTTTCAGGGGAAGTATACTTTATCACTGATATTCTATAGAAATGCTGGTGTATAGAAGTGGTAATAAAAATACCAACTTTCAGTTGTATTCTTGTATTAAAATTCTCTGTAGACAATGCTTCTGTTTGTTGCCTGCAGTAGTCACAGGCCACTCCCAGTGTCCCACACTTGGTAGGTGACTACTGTACCTGGAGTTTCCTAACAAGTGTCCCAGAATTGGGTCCACATCCTCCAAACACCATTATTTTAGTGTGTGTGGCGTGCTGTCTTACTTTCTGTAGGGTAAGGTTTTTGGTCCTTTTGAGGGCCTTCAGTGGTTCACAGCATTGGGTGAGTTACAAAATGCACAACTATGAGGTGTGTGTCTTGGAGGTGGTGATTTTGATGTCTTCATTTTGGAAAGAGTGTCACTGTCACCTACATACAATACAGATCTTTTTATGTGCTCTTCTAAACATGCACATGCTCCAAGAAACACCAAATCCTTTTCCTCCTCTCCTATGAGATAAAATTTTAAGAAGAAAATTTGTCTCCAGGAATGAGTCCTTCCCCCCGTCCTTATTTACAATGTCTGGCTAACCTGTGTGTCTGTCCACCAACCCTACAGGATATCTCAAATCTCTCTCTTCTCAAATGCCTATCTTGCCTTCCCTTCCTCCCCACCATCAGAAAACAGGCAGAAATATACACAGTTATCAGCTCACCAAACATGTTTTTATTGTAATCATTGCCATCAGTGGTGATGATTTTACCAATTTGGTTTCTCCAGGTGTGACTAATCCTCCCCACCCTCCTATGGATATGCCTAGGTCTCCGTTCTCTTAGATTGGATCAGTGGAGTTCTCTGGGGGCTGGTTATTCTTCAGTTTATTTCAATTTCTTTTCTTTACTTTTTTTCTTGCTGCCTTTTATTTATTTTTAATTTTGTTTTATTTATTTTTTTTCTGAATATCTTTTCTTATTCTTCTTGTAGTAAAACACTAATTTTGGCTATTTTGTTTCTTTCTAACTCTGTTCAGGGGCTGAACCTATGTCTATAACCTTTTTCTTCTGGTAAGAAAACAGGGAGAGGCCAGAAAGGCATTATTTTGGGTGAATAGGATAGACACTAGATAGCAAGGAGGGATTTATAAGAAGAAACACAGGTTGAGGAAAGGGCTTGTGCCAGAGAAAAACAAGGTGGAATCATAGGGTAGGGATCTATGGGGAAGAAGAGGAGCATGAGTAAGGTCATCTGTGTTAGTCCAAACTGCACTATTTTGCAAGCTCCCTGCTATTTTGAGGACTTGTTCAAAGTGAAACATTCCATGGGGGTTGAGGCCATGAGAAACATCCTGCCTAATCACCTGACTACAAGGTGGACAAAGGCCCAAATAAGAAACATCATTATTATATCTTGCTGGTCAAAGGTCCAAAAAACACCACAATTACATCCCACTGGAAAAAGGACCAAACCACCTGATCATAAGAATATCTTATCAATATCCTGCCAGACAGCTAGCCATACTGCCCAGGCCCCTCCCAACCATACCTATAAGTAACCCAGCCTGTAAATGGTGGTGGGCTTTGCCATTAAGCTGGTCCCCCACTTCTGCAACTGTCAACAATAAACCTGTGTTGCTATTTTAGCCATCTTCTCTCTGTGTGTCTTTCTTTAACTGTTGCCTTCCCTTCAAAACCTAAAATTTTGGTGCCAAAATCTGGGATGGGGATTGGATTTTATCAGATAAGTCTTCTCTTGCAACCCTGAAAGCATCAAGCAGCAAAAACTAGACCTGAGCTGGCTTCCATATCCTGAATGAACTACCTGTTCCCAGCCCCAGCCCTGTTCCCCTTATTCTCTCATCTTTTCCAGCCCTGGGCTGACCTCCAGGTCCTGATCAAACTCTCCATCCTCTGTTTGCTTCCTCCTTCTTTCCAGGTGGCTCCAGTAAGGATCACTCCCATTGCTGGACCTTACATCAAACACCAGGCTCCAATTAGTAGGTGAATCTCCCTTTTCTACCTTTCCAGATTTTTCTTTATTTCTACTGGTGCTCTAGAAAATCTTAGCAATGGGTTAGAGGTCTCCCTGGTCACCAGGTGACCACAGTCTGCCTTCTCAGGGAATGCCTTCAGAACGCTCACCATTCCAGCCACTCTGGCCCCCAAAGGACCACGAAGAGCTGCCACAGCTCTTTGGTACACCCCAGCTCTCTTATGTCCATTCTCCTGGGAGGAATTAGGTACTCACTTTTTTCCAGGGTATTCACTCCCCTCCGGGATACTCACTATTTTCTGGGATACTAATTCCTCTCTGGGTACTCACTTTCCTTTGGGGTATTTATTACCCTCTAGGGATACTCATTCCCCTCTGGGGTATGCACTCCCCTCCTACAAAAAACAAAGCTTTTAACTTCCAAATTGAACATAATCTAAAAAACTTTCTTTAATGCAATGGTAAAGGATCCAAAGTGCTTTGCATAATCTGTTCATGGTTTGCTCTCTCTCTCTGCCAATCCTGTTCACCTTTCCAAATCCTCCTCAACAAGTAACTCACAAAGGCACCTCATCCTCAGGACAAGGCTTTCCTCTAATTTTCACCTGGCAAACAAAACCCCTCCCGCTGTCCCCCTCCCAACACCATTTCCTCCTTTTCCTTTGGCTCCAGCTCCTTCACCCCTTACTGTTGTCCTCCATCCCCTCTTCATTCTCTACCACACACCAGGTTTCACATGCAACCCCTATTGCTGAAAACCAGGCACACACCCAAAAGCCTTCCAAAGTCCTTCCCTTGCAGGGGATTGTGAGGGCCAACTGCATAATCTGAGATCATGTTGCCATCTGTCTAGCCAACCTCTCCCATATTAAAAAGAGACTTGATTCCTTTTCCAAGGACACATCTCTTTCCACAAGGAATTTTTGTATGCCACTCAATCTTACAACCTTACTGGCAAGACATTTATGTAATTCTCTCTTCCACCCTCTCCGTGGAGGACAGGGAATGCATCTAGACAGCTGTCCAGGCCCATGCAAATACCCTCCACCAACAAGATGCTGCTCATAACCCAATAGGGACCATAGCTGTCCCCAGAACTTACCCCAATTGGAGTTATTAGACAACTTTCATAGACAGAAACAAGGCCATATGATATCATGCCTTCTAGCTGGCATAAATAAAGCTGCCTGTGATCTTTTCCTATCCTGCCTTTCAAAGGCCATAAGTAAATATATCAGAATACTAATAAGGGCAAAATCTACATTTACACTTTATCTCCCAGTCAGCCCCTGACATCCAAAAGAAACTTTAAAAACTGGAGGATGGCCCTCAAACCTCCCAAAGACACTTAATTTAAGTGGCATTTGAGGTCTTTAACAATAGAGAGGAAGAACTGAAAACCAGAAAATCTAAAAAAGGACAAGGCTAAATACCAAATGCTGGCAGCTGCCATTCAACAGAGTTCCCAATGCATACAGAAGTCCTCAATGTTGCAACAGTCAATGCCAGGAGCTTGTTATAAGCATAGCCAATGGGGACACTGGGAAAAAGCCTGTCCTAATCCCAGGACCCTGGAAACCTTGCCCCATCTGTGTGGTATCAAGCAACACTGGAAGTCAGCCTGTGCTCCGTGAAACTCTTAATCCTGCTTCACTACCTCTAACTGAAGACTGACAGGGCCTGGAGTCGACTGCCCCCACCACCATCACCACCTTGGAACCTAGGGTAACACGGTCAGTCTCTGGTAAGCCCATGTCTTTTCTATTAGATACAGGAGCTAGTTATTCAGTTTTACCAGAATATTCTGGACCTCTGCTCAGTTCCTCTATCTCTATTGTGAGAGTCAATAAAATATTCTCTAGGTACAAACAGACTGTTCATTTAATATGCAATCTATTCAACACCACCCTTCACCCACTCCTTCCTCAGTTATCCCTCAGTTCCCTACCCTTATCTTACTTAATTTACATATTAAGTAAATTCAAGGACTCCATTCAGTTTGCCTCCTACAATTCTACCCCTTTTATTTTACTCTGCCACACAAATGCTTCCCACTCTTCTCCCTCTCATCTTCATTATCTACCCTGTTACCTTCTGTTAATTCTAAAGTTTGGAACATTCCTAAACTCACAATCGCTACACATCACATCCCAGTTAAAATAACCCTTCAAAACTCCTCCATTTTCCTTCATCAGTCTCAGTATCCCCTTAACCCAGCTGGCCTCAGGGCCCTCAAACCTATTATCTGTAAACTTTTACAAGCTCAAATTCTCAAGTCTGTCAACTTTTCCTACAACATCCTATCCTGGCTGTCCAAAAGACAGATGGGTCTTACCTCTTGGTTCAGGATCACTGAGTTGTTACCCAGGTGGTGGTACCAATACATTTGGTGATCCCCAAGCCATATACTCTACTCTCTCATATTGCCCAATCTACCACACAATTCTCTGTATTGGATCTAAAATATGCCTTTTTCAGTATTCCATTAAATCTGGCTTCCCAAAGTTTTTTTGCTTTCACTTAGTTAAATTCCAATACTCACATGTTCACCCAACTAACATGAACTGTACTCTCACAGGGGTTCTAGGAGAGCCCCCACCTATTCAGACAGGCCCTCATGAAGGATCTAGTTGAACTTCCCTTTCCTCCTAGCACCCTTCTCCAATATGTCAATGACCTCCTTCTCTGTAGCCCCTCTCTTAACCTGTCCATCCAACACACCACTCAGGTTTTAAACTTCCTCCATAATTGAGGATATTGGGTCTCACCCAACAAAAGCTCAGATATCCCAAACCCAAGTTACTTACCTCGAGTTTGTCCTAACCCCTAACTCTTGAGCCATGCCAACCCAACAAAATGAGCTAATTAGGGACATGTCCTTTTCCCATGCAAAAAAGGACCTCCTCTTCTTCTTGAGCCTCATGGGATACTTCCAGCTGTGAATTCCCAATTTTCATTTGCTGGCCAAGCTACTTCACTGGGTCTCTCACATGGGCCAATGGCAAAACACTTGAACTCAGTTTGCCTCATCAGCTCCCACTTTTAAAAAAATCTAAAAAAATCCCTTTTAATGGACCTAGTGCTGGGACTGCCCAACCCTCCCAAGCCCTTTACTTTGTATGTACATTCTGACCAAGGCCTTGCTCTTGGACTACTCTGCCAAAGATAGAGCAATGCCCCACAAGCTGTTTGTATGCCTCTCAAAACAACTGAACTCTATCATCCAAGGCTGATCACTCTGACTAAAATTCTTAGGTGTGGTCACATTGCTTGTCTCAGAGGCACAGAAACTCACTCTCTACCAACACATTTACTATTGCAACTTTCCATAACCTCCAGGACCTCATAAACCATCTGTCCCTTCTATCCCTCTCACAATCCCAGTTACAGCAAGTACACGCCTTATTCATAGGTAACCCTCTAATCACCTTCCAGAGACATAAAACTCTCAACCAGGCCACCCTCCTCCATGTCAATATCTCCAACTCTAAGCTCTCTCACTCCTGCCTGGACCTCTTAAACTCCCTCTCCTCCCCCTTCCAACACATTTCAAAAGCCCCTTTGCTGAGAACGCATACATGGTTAATTAATGAAAGCTCTTTAAGGGAGCCATGTCCAGCAGCTGGCTATTCCATCATTGCAGAAGATAAACTCCTAGAATCCAGTGCTCTCCCACTCCATGCTACCTTTCAACAGGCAAAGCTAGAAACCCTAACCAGGGCTCTCACTCTAGCAAAGGGAAAGAGGGTTAACATTTACACCCATTCCAAATATGCATAGCACACACTACACTTTGCACCTTAATCTGGCAGGGGGGTTTTCTAACTACAAAAGGAACCCCCGTAAGAAATAGTAAGCTTGTACACAACTTGCTGGAGGTGGCTGAACTACCACTGAAGGCTGTCATTAACCACTGCAAGAGACATCAAAAGGCTACAGATGCCATAACAAAGAAAAACTTCTCAACACATTTGGCAGCCTACCACCACCAAAAAGGCACACACCATTGCTTCTATTCTCCTCACCCATATTATCCACTGGTTTCAACTCCCCTCTTGCATCCAGACAAGAGGCCATTGTTGGTTTTACAGGTTAAACAACAGATGACAAAGGCCCTAAACATTAAATGGGTCTTCCATATTCCTTACCACCCCCAATCTTCAGGAAAAATTTTAAAAAAGAAAAAAATCCAAACACTCCCTAGAGGTTAAAATGGCCCAGACTTCACTTCTTCCATTTGTCCTCATGCATTTACGAGCCATTTCCCAAAAGCCCCTCAGCCTAAGACCTACTCTCCCCAGCCCAAAAGTCCATCCTCAAAAGACACCTCTCTGTCCCTACAACCGTGGGTCTGGGTCTGAATCACAGACTCCTCTTTCTCAAACCTATGCGGCTGTGTCCGCACCAGGCTATCCTAAATACTCCTATAGTGGCAAAGCTAACATCCTTTCCACACTAAATAACAGCATTCCAAACTAAAAAGAGCACCAGATCTACATCCAGAAATTGCCTCACCCCCAAATTATTCTCACTCTCTCACAGGACCAACCTCACTGCACTTAACAAGAATTCCAGAAGTTGCCATTCTGGAAGGCCCTAGTCCATAATACTCCCTGCCTCCAATTTTAAATCTTTTCTCTCAGACTTTGTTTCAGATCTTCCGTGGCTTCCCTTCCCCACATCCCTGGAGAGTCCATGCCAATTTCTCACACTAATCCAGGAGGTATGACTGCAGGGCACCTTCCAACATTTCACTCCTACTCGAATCTCCTTTTTCTCCTTTTGTCCACTTTGTCTGTGGGAAACTCTTAAGTTCCCACCCCCAACCTTTATTAATTGAGCCCCCTTTCTCAGCCTCACAAATTGCCTCTGAAATCATTCACACTTCCCTCTTACTTACAACAGTTAAATTTGTTTGTCCACACAAATCCAGCAGCTCACAGCCCTTCCTGTCAACCTGGCCACATAAATCCAGTCCAAAATAAACCTGCATCTCACCTACTCAGCTAATTCATCCCCAAAACCCGTTTATAATCTTGCCCGGCTAAACACCTTCCCCCCAATCCATCAAATCCACCCACGTCGTCACACACAGGGCTGTCACCCTCCTTCGCTTCATAGCCTCTTAACTGAGGTTACAAGTCAGATTCCATAAAACACCTCTTGCCAACCCCTCCCCTCTCTGCCAGCCCTGCTGTCCATGTATCCAATGCAAGGGCGCTCCCTGGAAAAAATGCACAAACAATTCCTTCAACTGCAACCTTTAGCCTTCTGCCCTGTCAGGACCACAGTGGCTATTAATTATTAAGGTCATTTATCTTTCTCTCTCCAAAAACAAACAGCCTTCACTTCCTCCCCCACTAACATTTTCTATCAAGCCCTCAGCTGCCTTAGTGGCAGCTATTCTATTTGAAAAAACATAAAAGTTAAAACAAAAGGTTTGTCCAGAATTCAGCCCCCCGTTCTCATGGCTTGCCACCATAACTCACAACTTTCGTCTGTCCACCCCCAGTGTCTTCTTCCTTTTCGGCACAGACTCTCATCTCTGCCTAGTGGCCAGTTGGTCAGGAACACGCACCCTGGTGTTTCAATCTAAACATTAACATTTTGCTGAACAACCAGACCATCCAGGTTCCTTTAGTAGCTTCTGTTTCATTTTCTTCCATACACACTAAGCAGGCTCTATAGCTCATTGTAGTGTTAGCAGAACTAAATATCTCTGCTGCATTCAGTACTAGGATAGCAGGTTGCCCCTTTCTTAGGCCTTAATCTTCTGCTTCCTGTTATTAACAATTGGCCCATGTATACCTATCTTCATATCCCACTTTATCTCCTGAAGGCTAACCTCCCTTGTACAGGCAGCCACCCAGCAACACATCAATACCATCCTTCTCCTCTGCCAAGTGCAGTACCAGTGCCTCCAGGGAAACAACTCTCAAGTCGAACGCCCACTGCTTCAAAACCCAAACCCTGATTACAGCACCCCTCTTCAGCAGGAAGCAGCCAGATAATCAACAACACCCCTCTTCCTCTTATACTAAAGTAGAAGGCAAGAATATTAGTCTAAACTGCAGGATTTTGTAAGTTCTATTCTGTTTTGCAGAGCTCAAAGTGAAACATTCCACAGGAGTTCCGGCCATGAGAAACATCCCACCTAACCACCCGACCACAAGAAATGCCCAACTAAACAAACATTCTTACCATACCTTGTTGGACAAAGGTCCAAGAAACACCATGGTGACATCCCACCATGAAAAGGGCCAAACTGCCTGATCATAAGAACATCTTATCAATATCTTGCTGGGCAGCAAGCCATACTGCCCAGGACCCTCCCACCCATACCTTTAAGTATGCCAACCTGAATGTTGTGGTGTGCTCTAGCATTAAGTTGACCCTCATTTCTGCAGGTGTCCGCAGTATACCTGTGTGGCTGTTTGAGCTGACCCCATCTGTGTGTCTTTCACCTTCACCTTTCCTTCAAAACCTAATTATCTGACCTTGTCAACTTTTTTGTTCTTGTATTCACGGGGGCTTTTCATTGTATTCCCTTTGGTGCTTGAAGTTGTTTGTTCCATGATTGTGTTTTGTTGTAGAATTTCTATGCTAGGCTCTTCTAGGGTGCAGATTTCCACAGCTATATTGAAGGTTTCCAGTGGCGTGGCCCAGAGCTCTTGCCCTCTCTATGGTGAGCAAGACAAAGCTACACCCTTGAGCTTTGTTTGATCATCCAAGCAATGTTCCACCCAGTGGTAGTCTAGGGTGGCTTTGACCTCACAAAGTACCACCCCTGCCAACTCCCTGGGCTTTGGGGGGAAAGGACGAAAAGGATTTAGAGAAACCAAATGCTGTTGTTGTTTCAACATCTCCTGAAGAGGCATCACAAACAGATCTGCCACTGCTCCTCATTTCTCCATGTTTAATGTTCATAGTTCACATGGAAGTGAGATGATGATTCCTTCAAGCCCTTCCCCATAGTCATTCCTATTAAGTAATTCATTTTCTTGTCTTCCAGCCCTCATCATGTACTAGTATTTTGGATGTCTCACTTCAAATCCCTCCAAGCTAATGTGGCCCATTTATTTATTGGTGGAGATGTGAATTATCCCGTTTTTCCCTCCTACAGTTCCTTCATATGCGCCTTGAAGACCATTAACTTTCAGGTTTCTTCCAGGCAAATTTCAACCCGTGTTCTTTTCTCCAATGTCCATGTAGTTCTCTTAAGTCTCCTATTTCTAGTATGAAATCAGCGCCTTCAGTCTGCCAGAACTTCAGTGAATAAACGTTTTTACTGGGTATCCTAGTCTTGTTTCAAATCAGGGGTGTGTGTTCATCACAAATGTAGTATCTCAACATGGATTTTACCAGTGTGTAGGGCGGGTGGAGGTATGGGTAAACATGTGCTGGAAGTCGTTCTGAGTTTTTCCATGCAGAATACTATCTAACACCAACACGTACACCAGTGTGGGCATTGTTAAATTTTGTAATAGAGATTGTGTCCAGTAAAAAAAAAAAAAAAAAAAAAAAAAACAGTTAGCTGGAAGAGGAGAAGTAAAAGTATCTTTTGTCAAAGACTACAGGAGATTCTGTGTAGAAAAGTCAGTCTTAAAAAAAGGCTTCAACGATAGAGGTTAGCAAGATTGCAGGTTAGGAGATCAACATTCAAATCAATTGTATGTTTACATATTAGAAGTTATATATTAGAAATTTATGTATTATAACAGCCAATGTTCCAGCCAATGGTAGTACTAGGGTGAACTAGTAGTTAATTTCAGCAACAGGAATTTGAAATTAAGAACAGTGCAATTTAAAATATCACTAAAAATATTAAAGACCTAGGGATAAATCTGAACAAAGATGTAAATGACTTGTAAACTTAAAACTACACAAAATTGGAAAGATAAATTAATGACAAAAGAAAAATCGAGATGTATACTTTCATTCTCAGTTAGAAGATTCACTATTGTATAATGTCAGTTATTTCCAAATTAATCTGTCTATTCAACTAAATCCTAATAAAAATTCTAAAAAGATTTTGTCAATTTCATAGAAATTGACAGGATAATTATAATATTCATATGGAAATGAAAAGGGCCTAGAATAGTCAAAAGAAAAGTGTTGAATCTTAAAAAGCTCTGGATTGTGTCAATGTAAATGTTCTAGTATTGAAAGTGTAAAGTGGTAGTGTACTGAAGATTTTACTGTTGGGAGAGACTGGTTGAAGGATACATAAGGCCTTCATGTACATATCTTTGAAACTTCCTGTGAACTTATAATTGTTTCAAAATAAAAAGGTAAAAATACTTTAAAAGAAAGAAAGAGAAAGGGCCAAAGATAGGGAAGGCATGGCCCTAGATTTCTATCACAGGTTGACTCTTGTCCCATTCTCTATAGGAAGGCACAAAACTCAATAATGGAAAAAAAGAGGAGTAGAACTTAGATTTTTGTTCCACTGCTCATCAAGCTCACATGTCTTTATTTGATACACCATAAAATCAACAAGTCCTAGCAAAATACCCTGCAGATCTCCAAATACAACCAATTTATAGCTTTCCCAAGAGTGCCATCTAAAATCTAAGAAACCAAAAGAACATTGTTATTAAGGTATACATTTTTCTTAGTGAACCCCAGATGTTTTGTAGAGATTAACTATTTTATTTATTAAGTGCTCACAAGCTAACTTCTAAGGATTTAATTTTTTTTTTTGGACTCCTGCCTGCAATTAACAGTGAGAATATCACCCTGCCTTGTCATGTTACAAAAAACAAAAAACGAAAAGGCATACCACATCAAACAGGGTAGGTCAAAAACTGATTAAAATTGCTGAAAATAACAGCTTTCAATTATCTTATTACCTTTTATAATTGTTTTTTAAATTTGTTTACCAAAAAATGTTTTGATGGGTATATCACTATTCCTTTGTCATTTGTTTCAAGACATTTTTTCAATTTCCTTCTTAATTTCTTCATAGACCCACTGGTCAATCAGTAGTATATTGTTTAATAAATACATATAAATAAATACATACATGGAAACTTAACAAAACCTATGGGATACAGCAAAAGGAGTTCTGATATGGCATAGATCTGTGTTCCCACCTAAATCTCATGTTGAAATGCAATCCCCAGTGTTGGAGGTGGGGCTTGGTGAAAGGTGATTGGGTCATAGGGGAGGTTTCTAATGGCTTAGCACCATCCGCCTAGTGCTGTTTTAGTGATAGAGTTCTCCTAAGATCTGGTTTTTTGAATGTGTACAGCACCTTCACCATCTCTTTCTCTTCCTCTTGCTCTGGCCACAAGAGATGTCTCTATATCGCTTTGTTTTCCACCATGATTGTAAGTTTCCTGAGGCCTTCCCAGAAGCTGAGCAGAGGCAGAAGCCACCATGCTTACTATATAGCCTGCAAAACCGTGAGTCAATTAAACCTCTTTTCTTTATAAATTACCTAGTCTCAGATATTTTGTTATAGATGTGTGATACTTTCCAAAACTTACTATCTTTTTGATTTCTAGTTTTATTCTATTGTGGTCAGAGAAGATGCTTGATACTATTTCATTAGTTCTGATTATTTTAAGACTTGTTCTTTGATCTATCTGTATTAGCTCATTCTCATGCTGCTACAGTGACATACCCAAGACTGGGTAATTTTTAAAGGAAAGAGGTTTAATTGACTCACATTTCCATATAGCTGGAGAGGCTTCAGGAAACTTATAATCATGGTGGAAGTCGCCTTTTCACAGGGTGGCAGAAGAAGGAATGAGTGCCGAAAGAAGAGGGGAGGCCCCTTACAAAACCATCATATCTCATGAGAACTTACTATTATGAGAGCAGCATGGGGGGAAACCACCCCCATGACTCAGTTACCTCCCACTGAGTGCCAGCCATGACACATGGAAATTATTGGATTACAACACAATATGAGATTTGGGTGGGGACACAAAGCCAAACCATGTCATTACCATATCTTCTATCCTTGAGAATGATCCCTGTAGAGAGAAAAAGAATGTGTATTCTGTAGCCACTGGATGAAATGGCCCAGAAATATCTAATAGAGTCATTTGGTCTGTAATGCAGATTAAGGCCAATGTTTCTTTGTTGATTTTTTGTCTGGAGGTTTTGTCTAATGCTGAAAGTATTACAGGCTCCAGCTATTATTGTATTGGGGCCTATGTCTCCCCTTAGTGCTAATAATGCTTGCTTAATATGTCTGGGTGTTCCAGTGTTGGATCTATGTATATTTAAATTTGTTATATCTTTTTGTTGAATTGACTTCTTCATCTTCTTTATATTTTCCTATAGGTTTTGTCTAAAAATGTATTTTATCTGATATAAATACAGCTACTTTTGCTGTTTCTTGGTTTCCATTGGTATGAAATTTTTTTTTTATTCCTTTATTTTCAATCTAAGTGTCTCTTTGTAAGATAAATGTGTTTCTTGCAGGCAAAGGATCACTGGGCTTTATTTTTCCATTTATTCATCCGCTGTATTTCTTGATTGGAGAGTTTAGTTCATTTGCATCCAATGTTATTATTGATAAATAAAGAATTACTCCTTCTATTTTATTATTTGTTTTTTGCTTGTTTTGTGGTATTCTCTTTTTTGTTTCTTTCCTGTCTTCCTTTAAATGAAAGAGATTTTCACTGGTGATATAATTCAGTTTGGTATGTGTTTTTTGGTTTAAAGTTACCATTAGGTTTGCAAATACTATTCTATGACCTGATATTTCAGGCTTATAACAATTTTATTCTGTTTGCATAAGTAAACAAACAAGCAAAAAGAAAACTAATATAAACATCATGCTTTAACTTTGTCCCTTGCTTTTTTTTTTTTTTTTTTTTGAGATGGAGTTTTGTTATTGTTGCCTAGGCTGGAGTGCAATAGTGTGATTTTGGCTCACCGCAACCTCCACCCAGGCTCAAGTGATTCTTATGCCTCACCCTCCTGAGTAGCTGGGATTAAAGGCATGCCCCAGCACGTCCAGCTAATTTTGCATTTTTAGTAGACACGGGGTTTCTCCATGTTGGTCAAGCTGGTCTCAAACTCCCAACCTCAGATAATCAATCCTCCTTGGCTTCTCAAAGTGCTGGGATTACAGGCATGAGCCACAGCACATGTTCTGTCACCTGCTTTTTAACTTCTTGTTGTTTCTATCTATATCTTACTGTACAGGGTATGTCTTGAGAAATTGTAATCATTATTTTTGATTGGCTCTTCATTTAATCTTTCTACTGAGGAGTAGTTTACATGATACAATGTTTTAATATTTTGTGAATTTCTGTGTACATATTATTACCAGTGAGTTTTGTACCTTCAGATAATTTCTTCTTGCTCATTAACATTCTTTTCTTTCTCATTGAAGTATTTCCTTTAGCATTTCTTTTAGGACAGGTCATATTTTGAAGAAATCTCTCAGGTTTTGTTGGTCTGAGTAAATTTTCATTTGTCCTTGATGTTTCAAGAATATTTTCATCACATGTATTAATCTAGAGTAAAAGATTTTTCCTTCAGCACTTTAAATATTTAAATCCATTCTTTTCTGGCCTGTTAAGTTTCCACTGAAAAATCTGCTGCCAGACAT